AGCTTGAATGTTCAGAAGGGCAAAGCTACCACTGCAGGTGTGCACATGTGCGCGCACACACACGCAGGTGCATACACACACACACATACACACACACTCACAGTAATTCGAGACCCGGGTGCGGTGCAGACTCCACCTGGCCAGGACTGGGGACTTCAGAGATGGCTTAGGAACCAGCAAGGATCAGACTTGCGCTCTGAACTACAAACGGGACTGAGAGGAGCAGGGGAAACAGGTGAGAGATCCCATGGGACGGGGCCACGGGATCTAGATCTCCGCTAGGCACGCGGGACAGGCCCCCGAAGGGGAGGGAGGGGAGCTCAGGTTTGACTCCGTGGGAAAGAGGGAGCCACCAGTGCTCTGAGCAGGGAGGAGACATGTGGCCAGTGACATTGACAAAGGGTTTGGTCTGGTGAAGCTCAGGCCCGCTCCTTGGAGAGGCTGAGAAGCCCCTCTGTGCTCGGGGAGCGAAGGGGGCCTGCCGGGGAGGGAACACGGTGAGGCCGTCAGCTCCGTGGCTAAAGGAGCACTCAGGACAAGCCCTCCGGTGGCAGCCTCCCCGCCCGAGCCGGCCTCTGATGATCCCGCCATCTTGCTGAGACCGTCTTTGAATGGGAATGGGATTGTTTGGGCTAGATACCGGGGAGAAGAAACACATTGATTCCATGAATGGGAGAAATGAAGCGTAACCACGGGTGAGGCTGGGAGAAGGAGCAGGTGGTGGCGCCGTGGACGGACGTGGCTGGAGGAGACGGACAGCGGGTCCCTGGGTCTCCAGTGAAACTGCATCTCAGCCTGGAAAACTCGCTTCACATTCTCTCTGCGCATAAAGAAAAACTCACACTTTCCTTTAACAGCCCAAAAGCCTTTAAAACATAACCACATGGAGCCATGGAGATTTTACAAGAAATCCAGTCTCCTGTTGAGCAAGGGAGGGCACCCATCCACATCAGGAGGTCTGTCCTGGGTAGAGCGGGCAACAAAGGCCCCGAAGCTCCTGGCCCGGTGGACGAGTGTGACCACTGTGCCTCCCCTCCCAGGCCCGCCCCCAGGTGACCATTACTAGGACGGGTGGATAGGGTGGTGGCGGGGGACAGAAACGGCAAAGGGAAGAGTGGGGCTTGGCACCGTCCTGCCCATCCCTGGGCCCTGAAGTGGCTCACAGCGATGGCCACGGGGCCCCCTGTCTACCCCCTGCTCCCCTGCCCTGTCCTGAGGGTTAAGTGGTTCCTCTCCCAGGCTCCACGTCCCAAACCCGCCCCATCCCACGAGCACCACCCCGTGCCTTCACTCTGGAGCCACTGTGCAAATAGACCACAGTTTATAACAAGCCCCACAGAGGACGGCCAGGGAGGGGGGACCTCAGGAAACACAGACGCCCCGGGCACTGGGCCCCCATGTTCTCTTCTCTGCACAACCACCACGGAAAGGTCTTGCTAGAGGGAAGCACTGAGAATTCAATACATGCGGCCCCCAGGGCCTGAGGGAGTTTTATCCTAAAGCTGCTTCGTGGGATGACCTTTTCTTGTCCAATGTTCTTAGTAATGTGCCTGGCTGCCCTGACCTCCCCGAGCGCCAGGCCACCCCCGCTGCCACCACCTCTTCTTGTTCATTGCCCTCAGGTCTCTCCGACAACGAGGGCGGCACGAGGAGGTATGCGCCTGGCACCACTCACCCAGCCATGCGTTCACCTGCAGCAGGGGCCGTGGGAGCAACGCGTGCGCTCCCTGGGGCTGCGGAAGCACAGGGCTTATCCAATATATCTAACTTACGGAGCGAGGGCTAAGGACGGACATTTCAGCCGGTGGAGGGAGGGCCCAATCAGGCCCAGCTTTCTGGGTGCCAGGGGAGCCCATCGCACTCGACCTCCCCAGAGGCCTAGACCGCGACGTGCGCTCGTGATGCCAGAGGTCGCCGGCAGCCGAAGGGTTATGAGATTCCATAACCTCCTCCAGAACTTTCCTATTTCTGTATCTCTTTGGCCAGATTGCAAACTGCTGGGGCAGGGACGTGTGTTCCCCTTCTTCTATGCCCTTCTCGGTACCCGGTCAGCACTAGGACCCCCGCTCTACAGACAGATGTCCCCAAGTATGGGGCCACAGCACAGGCCCCTTGCAATGCTGATAAAATCCTATTGTCTGGCAGCAGCGTCATGGTCAGGAGCTTGGAGCTCTGCTTCTGGTTTTATACACGGAATTAAGGCAATGGAGCTCCCTCAGGGCACTGACCTGTGTGATTTCTTCTCTGTGCCACCCCCAGATCCACCCTGACTCCATCCCAGTCCATCCCCAGCTCCAAAAGTGTCTCCCTGTGGGCACCCCCAGAGCACTGAAAAAAATGCTTTCACCAAAGGGGCAGATGACATGACTCTCCCACATGCACCCCCGTGTCTGGGGAAGTCCGGATCTGGGGGACATCACCCTGTTACACTAGCTCGGCTTTGTCGATGATTTTACCCAGTGCCCCGGGTCACAGGTTTACAGAATTCCAAAGGTGGGAGCAGCACGAATGATGGAGGAGGTGAGCGCCGTTACTTTACCGAATATAGACCTGAGGGCCGGGGGACCGTCACTTGCCCCGACCACACAAACACAGGTCCTCTGTGTGTCCGGTCACAGGTTTACAGAATTCCAAAGGTGGGAGCAGCACGAATGATGGAGGAGGTGAGCGCCATTACTTTACCGAATATAGACCTGAGGGCCGGGGGACCGTCACTTGCCCCGACCACACAAACACAGGTCCTCTGTGTGTCTTCCTGCCCACAGTCATGGGGACAGACGTTCATCTTCAGCTTCCATGAACTCTGTCCTGCAAGCTTTCCTGACAGAGCTAACACGCTTCCTGAGGAACGCAAGACACTGACTGGGAGCTTCGTCACAGGAAACCAAGCTGGTGCCAACATGCTTGTCTCTGCAGTTCTAGGACAGGCGTAAGGGACACACACCCCACGCAGCTACTGACCCCTTTTCTCTTCCTTCATCTCCATCTCCTGATCCCGTCAGAAATGGAACCTTGTCCTCTGTACATTGGGAAGAAGGCATCTACATCCATCCTGATCTGTCCCCTGTGCCCCCTGGACAGCGTCCCTTAGAAGTTCTGCAGGTACCCAGACAATCATGTCTATCCAATCACTAGGATGTTCCCACAAACCCTCCTTCCCCCTAAGTCCCTGGCTTCCTGGAAACCAGCCCACACTCAGCCAGCAGTAACAGCCGTTCCACGGCTAAAACACAGAGGAATCTCCTTACCAGGTGGGACTGGACGCCCTGCCCGGGCTCTACCAGCACAGCCCCCGTCACCCAGCCCTCCTGTCCACTCCAGTAGCCACGGGCCCTCCCCACGGCCAGCCAGAGACGGAAATGCCTGAGTACCCGGGACCTCAGGAACTCATCCCCACCACCCTGCCTGCAACTGCTCTGACCAGTGGTGGTCATCCCGAGCTGGTCCCCACACACGTGGCTTTCAGTTCTGCCCTCACTCTGGAACTTTCCATCCTCAATCTCATCACGTCTGCCAGGTACAGGTTTCTCAACAACACCTGCCCTCCATCTGCTGGATTTCTCACCTGGATCTCTTCACATCCCCTGCCCTCTGCAGCCACCTATACCTGCCCTCGGCTCTCACCTGGATCTGGGCACATCCCCAGGAGACTACATCTGCCCTACACCTGCCCTCGGCTCTCACCTGGGTCACTGCACGTCCCCAGGAGACTACATCTGCCCTACACCTGCCCTCGGCTCTCACCTGGGTCGCTGCACGTCCCCAGGAGACTACATCTGCGCTATACCTGCCCTCGGCTCTCACCTGGGTGAGGTCCTCTGTCCTCTGATCCTGCTATGCCCCGGGCTGCGTTCAGCCTGCTCTTTCTCAGCACAGACCTGACCATCTCACTATGTCTCCCCCCCTCGGGCCCTGTTGCTCTTCCTTTGGGGCTCCTAGATGACTTCTCTCTCCCTACTGGGTACCTCACCTGTGCTTCCCACCTGAGCACCCCAGGAGCAGTGGTTCCTTGGTCCTTCTTGGTCTTTGCTTGTCAGTGGGCCTCTCCTTCGCAGTGTGGACTGAGTGCGTCCATGCCAGGTGCTGGGCAGCCAGCAGGCCCAGGTGCACATCGCACTTTTTCTGGGACACCACTTATGTGCCCTTTGGATATGCAGTTCCAGAAGCTTCCCACACTTAGGCTGGGTGGGAGCTTCCTCATCCCCATCCCCTACCACCCGGCGCACTAATTGCCCCTCACTCCTCTGTCTTTTCCTAGTAAGTGGTAAGATTCGAGTCAGGGACAGTGTCACTCACAGGAGATGCCCAGCTGTGGTGCAAGGCTGGACCACAGCAGGGCCTAGTGGCAGCTACCCTGAAGGAGCGAGCAAGTGGATGGGCTCCTGTGCCCGTGCCTGTGCCCCCGTGGTCAGGGCAGGTCCTCCTCTCAGTTATTGATCCGCTGCACCTGTGCTGGGCTGTCCTGGCTCTTTCTTCACAGCTCACTTCCAAATGCTGGCTTTGCCCGCACGACAGGTGACTCTGTGGGCTCCTGCACAGCAGCTGCCCACAGCTCCGTGGGCACCAGCCACTAAGGCCTGTGCTGGCCAGAGGTGGGGGCACAAACGCCCTCACCCTGTGCTCTCTGCCCTGGTGCTTGGACTCTCCAAACCCCATCCACTAGTGAGGCCCCGTGCACACAGCAGGCGCTCACTAAATGCAGATGGGGCGTATGCCAGTGTGCACCATCCCTGGGGGCTCTCGCAACCCACAGTGGATCAGGTGTAGAATGTTCCAGAGCCTCAGTGACCCCAGGCATGGCAGGGTCAAGAGTCCTGTGCTTTCCTGAGTTGATAATTTGTACAATTAAAGTAGGTTTCAGCTGTACTTAAATTACCTCCCAAAACCCACTGGATTTCCCTGTTGCTCCTTCTCTCCAAAGCTTCTCTGATGTAACTGAGTGAAGCCGCAGGCACAGTCCCCGTGAGCCCAGCCACGTGGGCGGGCCAGCTGGTACTCACCCGACGTCCACGAAGGCACTGGCCGGCACCCGTGCCAGGCGAGCCACGTCCTCCGTCAGCTGCCGCGCCGCCTCGGGGCTCAGGGGGCTGGAAGAACAGGGGCAGCGTTAGCAAGTGCAGCTCCTCCCCACCCCCGGGGGTCCCACCCCAGCCGCACCCACCCCACATGGCTCTCAGGCAGGGAGCAGGTGATCGCGGAGACATGACGGATCACCCACGTTCCCCAGGATGAGATGACGACGTGTGCAAATGGGATTGTTGTGGAGCACAACGGGCCTGGCTGCAGACGGCTCATCTTGGCCCTCAATAAAAGTATAACTAAGTGGGGTGGAGGGGAGATGGGAGTGAAGCGGGAGGCAGATGCCGGAAACCAACTGTGGGAGCCGGTGTCAGACGCTCACAGGAAACACCTCTGTCTAAATGGATTCATTCCTGAAGTGGCTCATGTCCCCGTGAGAACGTTTGAAGTCACACAAATAACAGTAAATGGTGACACAGGTGGTTGAGCTCACCAGCAGCGACTCACGAACAGGGGCGCAGAACATGGTAGGTGGAGAGCTGTACTAGTGAGAGGCCCGCACAGCGACCACGTGTCACCTGACGTTCAGTTACAAACCCTGAACTCCACTTTCAGTTCTGCAAATTGCAAGTCGCCTGTGAAATCCTTAGTACCACTTCAAAGGAATATTAAATTGTATTGCTGTATAAAATCCTGCCCTGTACAGCACAGGCTTTCAGCCTAGCTGACCGTTCACTCGCTCAGCAGATGCTGAAGAACGTCCCTGGGTGCCAGGCACTGCTTCAAGAAACGCTTCTCTAGATGAGAGACAGGCTAACGTAGCATGGACCACAAGGACAGTGATCGAACTGCTCATGGGGACAGACCCAGGACGGAGGGACAGGCCCAGAACAGGGGGGACAGACCCAGGACGGAGGGACAGGCCCGGAACAGCAGGGGACAGACTCAGGACGGAGGGACAGACCCAGAACAGGGGGGATGGACTCAGGACGGAGGGACAGTCCCAGAACAGCAGGGGACAGACCCAGGATGGAGGGACAGGCCCAGAACAGGGGGGACAGACCCAGGATGGAGGGACAGGCCCAGGACAGCAGGGGACAGACCCAGGAGACGCTCAGCAGACAAGGTGTTTGGAATTGGCGAGTGAGAGAGGACGGTGGGCTCTGCAGGGCAGAAGGGCATGGCTGGTGAAGACAGGATTTCTGCAGCCGGAAACACTGAAGACAGACTGCTCTGGACTGCTTGTGCCCCCAGATCCATATGCTGAAAGGTGATGGTGTTAGAAGGCGGGGCCTCTGGGAGGTGATTAGGTCACGGGAGCGGAGCCTCATGATGGGATCGGGGCCCCAGGGAGACCTGCAGCTCCCTCTGCTCCATGTGAGAAGACGCCATCTGGAACTCAGAAGTGGGCCCTCAGAACCCAAACCTGCCAGCACCTGGGTCTTGGACATCCAGCCTCCAAAACTGTGAGAAACAAATTTCTGTTGCCCATAAGCCACCCAGCCCATGGTGCTTTGTTATAGCTGATGAAGACACAGCCCCAGGACAGAGAAAGACCACGAGCTGACGTTAGACACAGCAGGTTTGCATCCTGTGAGGCGTCAGGTGCAGACAGGGAGAAGCTGGTGACACACCAGGCCTGCGCTGCGAGAGGCACCAAACAAAATGCTCCTGGGGTTTCTTACTTCACTGCTGCAATACCAAGGTAGACGAGTGTTGTTCCGATTAGGAAACTGGCTCAGAGAGGTTCATCATTAGCCCAAAGCCACACAGCTCATCACAACAGGAGGAGGGAAGGGCCTGCACTGGCTGCCCTGAGCCCACCCCTCATGTCCCACCCCCTGCCACCCTTGCGCGGGAGAGGAGAGGGGCCCCATCCACCCAGCTGGGGAACTGGGAATTTGATTTTTACACAGATATGCAACTCTGTGCCGGGTCCCCTCTGCACACCTTATGTGGATCATTTCAGACCCTTCCACAAACTTGCGAGGTGTAAGGTGAGAACAGAGGCTGGCCTTCCTGGGCCCATGAAAAGTAGGCCCAGCCTGGGATGCTTCCCCCTCCCCATCCAGGGCTGGGGACCCTTTATCAAGGGAGGCGAGCCCCAACCTCCTGAAACACAAATCTCCAGTGTGGCATCAGGGTGTGACCTCAGCCATGGCCTGCGCCCACCTGGCCTGCCTTACACGCTGCCCCACCGTGGACCCTGCACTGTAAATCCTCAGCAGGAAGATTCCGTTGTCCACATCGCGATGCTTTTAAAATAAGAAAGTGTTCATGAGACAGACATGCACATTTAATGTGGAAGTCTCCTCGTCCGCCCTCATCCCCCACCATCCAAAACCAAAAAGCTTTTATGAACCCCCCATGCATATTTCGGAAGATGGCACCTCAGGCCACCTGGGTGAGCTGAGTGTCCCTGCCCCAGTGAGAACTCAGGGGAAAGAGTCCAACAGGGATGTTCGTGTCCTGGTCATCATTCCTGTGGTCTTCCCGAGGTGCAGGTCACAGCTACTTTTCATCAGCCGGTGGGTGGTGCCCAAGGATGCCTGCATGCACATACGGTCTGGTGGGGGCTCGAGCCCTGGTCACCGCCTTGTCCCCACAGCCAGACAGAGCTCTGCATGCCAGGGGACAGGCGGTGGGCAGCTCAGGCCTGCACACAGGGGCGTGAGAAGGGTCAGTGAGGGAGACAATCCTGTCTTACTCAAAGGATCGCACGTTACTATAATAATAACATAGCATATGGCTTCATACAGCAGCAAATTTCAATAGAAGCATGGGTCTGAAGCCCAGTGTCATGAAAACAGCAGGCCAGAATGTCAGGAATAATGTGTCCATGGAAGGCCAGGCCCAAGCCTCTGCCAGAGGAAGGTCTCCGCAGCAAGAAGCCTGTCCTGGGACTTGAGTGAGAACAACACTGGAAGGGCTGGAGTCCCCGTGGTGGCTCTCCTGGCACAGAGCGTTGCATCCGCTTCACCTTCCTCTCATCACAGGGGCTATTCCTCTCACAACCAGGTCCTGGCAGGGCCCAGCGCATGACGTGCCACCAAGAAGTATTTAAATAGGTGAAGGAGTGGGCTTGATGAGGCTAAAGGGAACCTGGGCCGTCCCTACCTCCAGGGTGACACCCCCAGAAACTTCCCTAGCACGGTCCCACCCAGGATCCTGGCCCTTTCTCTGTGTTTTTCCTGGGCTCCTGACCCATTTCCCACGTTTTTCGCGGGCTCTGGATCTGTTCACACCTCTGTCCACAGACCCTCCACTCAACCTCCCCGAACTCGCTGACTCCCGGCTCCTCAGTCCCTGCGCCCCTCCTGGGTCACCTAGATCCGCTGACCTGGCAGTCTCCTTCCATCTCCCTTCAGCTGTTCTAGTTTTAATTCCCCACTTCTCTTGCGGTCTTCACTCCTGTAGGGGAGAATTTGTGAGCATTTCCCCTGCATGCATCCCTGCTGCTCACGTGCCCGCCTCCCCTCAGGACTTTGAGGTTTCAGCCCATCCAGCCCTCACAGCAGCACCACGATGTAGGTGATGCTGTCCTGATTCTGCAGATGAGGGACCAAGGCACAGGACAGGGAATTAGTGAGCAGTGGAGTGACAACTTCATCCGCCACTCCCCGAACATGAGCACAACTGCCACGTGTGCAGATTTGACCCACATATTAACTGCATAAATGAATGAATGAAAGTAAATATCAAAAATATATAAAGGTCCAACACTTTGAAAATCATTAAGATGTAACATTAATGAACCCCACCCAATTTAGAGTTTCTGTGAAGATCAAATAAGGCAGGAGAGGATTCTGGGATAGTGGCTAGGTAGGAAGCACCAGGAACCTGTCTCCCACCCAGACCACAGTGTGTAGAGGCCCCCACAAAAAGTAGATTTCTAAGCCCCTTTGTCTAACCTTGCAGCTGGAATTTGCTTTCTTGTAAAGGACACCTGAGAGGTGGTTTTGTGGTTAATGGTTGATTGCATCTCTGGCTTCTGTGACTCTGCTGCTTGCCTGTTTTGGTGAAGCTGCCTGCTCAGTTTACAAAGATCCCCTAACCACATTTCCTGCCTCTGTAACCCTGCTTGATGAAGCCCCCAGTTTTGGGTGACTCTGCCTGGATACAGGCAGAGCCAATGAAAAAGCTTGCATGCTTGCTCAAGCAAAGTATAAAACCCCTGTTCTCCCCACACTCAGGGCCCAGGAATTCAGAATGCAAGTTCACCTGAGACCCACTAGTGTAATAAATCTTCTGACTACTCCATCCCTCTGTGTGTCTGATGTTTCCTTGGTAACCTTTCCATAACAAGTGCAATAACGGAACCTGCCTGATGCAACTGTTCGGAACTCTCTGGTATCCTGAAAGCTTGCAACTTCCAGGGGAAGGCTTGGACATTACTGTCAATTTCAGCTCTTAGCACAGGAGCAGCTACCCTCCCACCACCCCCAACCCCATGAAAGGTGCTGTGCACCTGTTTCTGGAGCAGCTTGCATACAGCTTTTGGGAGCCAGGGTGGGGAAAAGAACCCTGTCCTCCAAATATCATGGACCTGTGCTCTGATTGCTGGTTGCTGCTTCTCATTCCAGAGTTGCAATGAAGCTGTAGCCATTGCTTTTCATCTCCTCAAATCTTGCAAGCCCCTCCCTCTCAGGCTGAAGTGATTTACAGAGCATTTAAAAGGTCAGCACCCAGTTTACCCCCATCATTTTTCTTTTTCTCCCCCTTTTGAGAGTCAGACACCAAAGACCAGAACACTTAAAGTGACTGCACATACGGAAAAAACTAGAAAGTTGCCACACATGCCCAGGGAAAGGGTCAGAAAACACCTGAGAAGAAATTAAGTTTATACCTCAGACTAATCCTTGGCACAGAGTCAGCCTATAGCAATAAAAACAAAAAAATAACAAAAAACAGCAAACTCAGAAAAAGGGAACAATCAGATTTCCAGAGTTACCACATTATTAGATTTGAATGTCTTGTTTTTGACAAAAAAATAATCACAAGGCATACATAGAAATAGGAAAGTCTGGCCCATTCAAAGGGAAAGATAAATCAACTGAAACTATCCCTG